ACTTTGGGGTACCAATCAGAGACCTAAGCTCAGAAATGGCTTCATGATATTTTCCAGTGATCATTTTTGTAAAAAAAGAACCTAAGATCACACATATTTTACATAGATAAAGCACTTTGTAATTTGTAAGCTGTACTTGTGAGTAAGAATTTCTGTATTTTTTAAAGCTTAGATTACTAGGAATCCCTTTAATGAAGCCATCGGAACCTTTTCCAATCAATCTGAGGGTTCCAACTACAACTGGAATTATTGAGATCCTCATGTGCCACATTTTTGGGATTTCCCCCTTCAAAGTTGTTGTAATTTGATAATCTTTTGATGATATTCAAAGACATATTACAATTTGCAGGAACTGCTATGTCACTAAGAAAGCACATTCTGTATTTGATCATGATGTCTGGGCGATTAGTTTTGATTGTTCTGCTTCTGTGTAAAGACCCTTAAAATCGTTACAGGTTCTAATCTCTCTAACTGGATCTGGGTGATGTTCATATCAGTTTCTTACAGTTACCTTCCTGTAAAAAGTTTCATATTATTATTATTAATGTATGTTAGGTTTCCTGCTTTGTATCCTGTAGAGCCGGGTTCAAACTATGGTCTTTATGCCCTATAGGAGAATTGTTATTCAATTAATAGCACTTTTCTTAGTATATGGGATGTTCGTAGACGGGCAATCTTTTGGGTAACTTGTATATTGATGTTACCTTGATATTAGTAAAACTGTTCTTTTCTCACGAAGCCCAGAGCTCCCAGTACTATTGGTACAGTCTCAGTCTTCATTCTCCGCATCCTGTTAACCTCAATCTTCAGGTCCTTTGTATTTAAACAATTTCTCGATAATTTTCATAGAGGTGTTTCTCTCAGATGATACTGCTATGTCAATAAGCATCCACGTCACTAAATTCTTGTCTTTTATGACAATATCAGATCTGCTGACTTTTATTTCCCTGTCAGTTTGAATTGTCATGTCCCAGAGGATAGTTACATCGTTATTTTGTGTAACTGTGTTCATACCATCTCTCAGTGGTTTCGATTTTGTGCTTCTCACATATCTTCCAGTGGACATATGTTGCTAGCTTGTTATGCCTGAGGGTATATTCATTTTTTTTTTGTTAGTACCCGACATCCTGAGATAATATGGCCGACAGTTTCATCACAATTTCCGAAGATCCTGGATTTTGGGTTACTTTCATCCTTGATTATGTGACAGTGATAGGATCTGGTTGTGAGGTGTTTGTTTCTTTTTCTGAGATCCAATAATTAGGCTTCTGTCTCAGCTTTCAACCTGCTCCCCCTTAGCCACTGATGTCATTTCTGTTGGTCCACATTTGCTTCTTTCGTTCTTTTTATGAATTTGCCTTCTCCTCCCGGTTTTCTTTCATAATTTCATTTGGCCAAGTTGTTTTGCTTTCTGTTTTACTCGTTTGGCGAAGAAAGCATTCGCTTCGTTATTTTTGGTAGGTTTTCAGGTATATTAAGCTTATTTTTTAAGGGTGCAGCTGTTTTGTTGATGGAGTGGATTTAATATTTTACTATTTTTAAGAGAGGGTCATTGGTTTTTGTAAGGTATGTTTCCAATCCGATTCTTTATTATTAGTAGTAGTATTTCTTTTGATTTCTGGCGTTAACACATTTCTTTCCGGGTCCCGCCCAGGGACCTAAGGTTAGAAATGGCATAATGACATTTCCACTGGAAAACAAAAATTTACATAGATAAAGTCCTTCGTAAAGCGTGGGCTGTACTTGTCAGAACAATTTTTTGTATCTCTTTGAGGCATGGACTTCCAGGAATCCCTTCAATTAGTCTATTAGAATCTTTTTCCAACCAATCCTAGGGCTCCAACTACAACGGGGATTGTTGATGTTCCCATGTGCCATATATTTTTAGATTTCTATTGTATTTTGACAGTTTTTGAATATTTCCAAAGATACATTGCAGTCTGCAGAGACTGCCATATCAATAAGGAGGCACTTTTTTGTTTGTTGTCTCTAATAACAATATCTGGGCGGTTATATTTGATTGTTCTGTCAGTGTGTAATGTGTAGTCCCATAGAATTTTAACAGGTCCTATCTCCGTAACCGGGTCTGGGTAGTGTTCATTTTCTTTCAGTTTCCTTCCCGTAGAAGTTGCTTTTCCAGTGCAGATATTGGTTCACTCTGTCATGCCAGGTTTTATATTCAGTGGGTGCCAATATCGTGCAACCTGATACAAGATGATCAATTGTTTCTGGATATTTATCACAGAATCTGCGTTTTGAGCTAACACAATATTTTAGTATATGTGCTTGATAATTTCTATTTAACAAGCATTGGTCCTGTGCAGCAAGAATAAAACCTTCAGTTTCAGCTTTCAACCCATACATAGCCACTGATGGGTACGGGTTTTGTCTACGTCAGCTTATTATTATTATTATTTAAATTGATTAAAACAGCATAATTCAAATACCGCTGTACATGTATCAGTTATAAGCAATTTAGTATAGGGAGTGAGTAAATTAAATAGACTAGATTTAGTTTTGTTCGATCCTGCAAAATGCTAAAAAGGGAAAAAATTAACCTGGTAACTCGAGTTTTGTGCTAAAGTAGCCTCGTCATATCGAGATGTTTATATGGGTTTCATGCATGACATCCAACGCTTTCAGAAATGTCTAAGCAATCAACCATATATAACCGTTTACTAAGATCAGGGGTTAAAAGTACATTCAAGCGCATAGTGCGTGTGAGACTTTAAGGTGGGGATCCTTCATCGGAACTTGTAGACTGATACAAGCCACATCCCTTGAAATCGTCAACAACTAAAATGGGTAACGCAAGTAGATCGAAAGACAAATAAATACATAATCAAATACTAGGATTTCTACAGCACCTTAAACGAACGGTTAGGAAGGAAACTTCCATTAGTTCAGAGAAAGAGCGATAACAAATAATGGTGTTGGGAAATCTATTTTCGTGAAAATAACTGTTTTTAAGAAAATAGTTTTTATAAATTTCAGCCAAGGGGAATCATAATTTTTCGACCAATGAATGACAATATTTTCCTTATGATTGACCAGTTAATATTACCATTATTATTATTATTATTATTATTATTTATTATTATTATTATTATTATTATTATTTCTGGTGTGTACTTATTTCTTTCCAGGTCCGAAATGACATAATGGCATTTACTACTGAGTAATTAAAAAAATCACACATATTTTAACTAGATAAAGCCCTTTGTAAGGTGTGGGCTATACTCATGACAACAATTCTTTGTATTTCTTTATTATTATTATTATTACCAGGAATCCCTTCAATCCGAGTTTATTGGCATTTACTACTTTAATTAAAAAAAAATCCGAGGGCTCCAACTATAACTAGAAGGTTAGGGGCTTATTCATGTTCTCAGACTTATTGATGTTCCCATTTTTTTTGATATTTCGATTTCAAGGTTCCTGTATTTTAATGGCATTCTCAATATCTTCAAAGATGCATCTCAATCTACAGGAACTGCCATATTAATAAAAAGGCATATTTTTGTCTTTGCAGTCTCTGTACAAGATGTCTGGGCGGTTGACTTCGATTTTGTCTGTGGCTATTGTGAAGTCGCATAAAACTCTTATATGTCCCCTCCCTGTAACCAGGTCTGGATGGTGTTGATACCAACTACTTTCAGTTTCCTTTCCTCAAGAGTTTCAGATTTTCCAGTGCCGTGTTTTCTGTCATGCCGTGTTTGATATTCAGTGGGTGCCAATACAGCACATCCTGATAAAAGATGGTCAATTATTTCTGGATATTCATCACAGAATCTGCAGTTTGAGCTAACACAATTTTTCAGTATGGGTACTTGATAATTTCTATTTATCTTTCTGATCCTTCTTAGGAAGAAAAAAAAACCATCGGTTTCAGCGTTTCACCCTGCACTAAGCAGCCACTGACGGGTATGGGGTTTGTCTAATCAGCTTGTTTGGTACGGTATGGACCGCGAAGCGGTTTATCGTTCCACCGTTTCTGTATCGGTTGCATTTACTTTTGCTTTCCTTTTTAAGTATTTTGCAATTTCTTTCTGTGTATTGTGCTTTCCATATATTTTTTTTACCCATTTGAAACTCCATTGTTATTATTATTATTATTATTATTATGGTTGTTGTTTTTTTGGGGGTTGCAGCTGTGGCTCCTTTGTTAGTTAACACGTACGTTGCCTCCTGTCCCCTTTCATTACCTCAACAAAACTATGGATCATTTTTTTTCGATTGTGGGGATAGACTGGTAACAGCTTGTTGATACCTACCCACAAAACAGAATAGAAGATATGTCACATACGCTATTTGTTTTAGGAAAATGAAAGGATAAGAAAGAAAGAAAGAAAGAAAGAAAGAAAGAAAGAAAGAAAATGAAGCGACGTTAACGCCCACATAATTTTAAAATCTGCTTCAATGAACTGGAGAGCATTGTTGAGTTTGAATATTTTCATTTGTACCCCCTTACTTCTTTAAATAATGACCTGAATTCTTATTTAGAATCGCTATTGTAATCGTTTATTAAAGTCGTCAAGCTGAGTCAATCGAGGAATTCCCATTACTTTTAGGGTCTTTGAAGTCGCAAGGAGCTTACTCTATCATTAACTTAATAATCATCAGAAAATTCAAATAGGAAAAGCGTGAAATTTTCACGGGTATTATTATTATTATTATTATTTTTGAGTCAGAAAGAAAAACAGCAGTAAAGTGATGTTAGGATTCAAATATATGAAGCTCAATATATTCATCATGTTAAAAAGTTCGGGAAGTGTATACTACGCACATACATCTCAGCCAAATGTAGTCATTTGGTCAAAGTGTATGTTAAAAATATCAAATATAATTCTTCGTCAGTTGTCTTGGATAAAGAGAAATGAAGGAAAAAGAAAAAGGAAGGTTTGCAGGCTGAAGAAAGATAGTATTAGGTTGGTGCAAAAATATTTTTTTTTTCTCACATAGTAACATTTGTTAAAAAACGAAATTATTTTTGCACCAGCCTAATAAAAGAAGAAACAAGAAGAAGAAAAAAGTAAAATGAAAGAAAAAGAAAGCCAAGAGGAAGAAAAAAGAAAGAAAAAATGAATTTGAAGAAGAATAAATAAAGGAGTGCATAGTAAACAAGAAAAGAAAAGGTAAAAAAAAGAGACCCGAAGAGGAAAATGAAAAGAAAAAGAAGACAAAAAGAAATGAAAATTAAAAAGGTGATGCATGACGTGCATAGATGTAGAAATAGAGGAGGAAAAAAAAAGGAAAGTGAAATGAAAAAAAAAAAAGAAAGACGAAAAACGTGAATTCAAGGGAGAAGAGAATAATCTTGCAAAATGAAGGAAAGAAGAAAGTAAACAAGGAAAGATATGAAAAAAGAAGACAAAGAAGAAAAAGATGAAAGAGTAGAATAAATGAAGACATGCTGACAAAAAGAGACAAGAGAAGAAACAGAAAAAATGTAAAAAAAAAGAAGGAAAGGAAAGAGACTGTGAAAAATAAAAAAAATGGATTGTACGGTGAAAAAGATAAGAGAAGAAGAAATAGATGAAAAGAAAAGAAGGAAAAGTAAAAATGAAGAGAAGGAGGAAAAATATGAAGAAGCTGTAATAGAAAAGAAAAAAAAAGCTTCCAATGCATTATTCTGATTGAAACGTCTTTTTAAACTAATTATTTTATGCATTCATTCACCAAACAATTAAAAATACAAATCCCATCGACTGCACTGTAGAAATTCAAGTCAAGGGATTTTACAACAACAGCAATAAATGAAATAAAATAAATCCATTGGATTAAAAACATTTTTCTTCAACTAATGTTTGTTAGCAAAAGAGAGCAGTTCAATATGCAAATTTGTGGGAATAAAATAAAATACAAAATTAAATAAAAAAAATAAAATAAAATAAACATTAAAATCTCCCAAGAGTCCTCTGACAGGAAAGACAAATTACGCATGTGCAAAAATAAAGAATAAAAAGCGCAGACGTTTAAAAAGAGAGACGCTTAAAAAAAAGAGCAGACGCTTAAAAGAGGAGACGCTAGATCTTTCTCTGTTGGACCTTTGACTGGTGAATACGTACCAACTGTTTTGGGAGGAAATTCCCCAACAAGAGGTCGTTGGAATCCAAAAGAAAGAAATAAAATCAGTCCTAAACAGTCCCTCCATTGTCTCCGTATCCTTCCGTCTCTTCTCTATCTATTTATTTCAGCAACGGAGGAAATTCAACAAGTTTTAGGTGAAATAATCAATCCAGCATTAATAGCCGTAACATCTATAAATTACAAATTGAAAATGCCAAAATCAAGTACAATAATTTAAGTATCTTAGCAAAGGGAGAAAAACAGCTAAATGCCACACCAGAAAACAATCTGTGGAGAGTCCAAATTCTAAAGAGACACTGGACATAGAATATATATATATATATATATATATATATATATATATATATATATATATATATATATATATATATATATATATATATATATATATTTCATTCATTTCAATCCTTCATGAGCTTCGGCTTCTTAGATATAATTAATCAATGATGAACATGTCATTTTCGGTTGTGCCTGAATGTCCGAGAAATTGTCACAGAACAACATTAAATCGGTAAAAGCACGTCAGGCTCTATGACGATTCCGTATAGGATACAGGTTCGATTCCTGTCGGAGGACGAATATTTTCTATGACAATTTCTCTGACATTCAGGCCCATAAATGTTGCTTATGCTGATTATTATAAACAGAGCATTTACTTAAATATTTGTATCTATGAAAAAGAATGTATAAACATAAAAATATCTTATATATATATATATATATATATATATATATATATATATATATAAGTCTACCATTCGTCCGTGCTTAGATGCTATTGCATATGCTTTGATATTCCTGTTATCTACTGAGTGTTGCCATTATGACTTTTTCTCATTTCTTTAAAGAATATATAAAGAACCTGTTGTTTTTTTAGAGACGTCGTTAATAACTGTTAAAACCCTTGAGGAAGGGATTATCCACACCCTGCAAATTAAGAAATTTAGCCTGTAGTTTAAAATATTAAATGTTACAGATTTGACTCAGACATGGAAGCCACGTGCTTCATGACGTTAGCTATTTATTTATTTATTTTTTTTTATATGAAAATAGTTCATAAGTTAACTTGAGGGGCACCTGTCTAACTTTCAGGGCGCATTAGTGCGAATAACGACACCGATTGAGAAACGCTGAGTTAATAAAACAACCTCATTCAATAAAACAATACCTGGAGTGACTGTTGGGTCGTTCATTGGTTGAACACTTAGGATAAAATAATGTATCAATTCGTCCTATTATATTAGATTCAACAGTGTATTTTCGACGGATTTATAGCGTCAAATGCTGCATTATTAAAGTGATTTTCCAAACAAAATACATGACAAGACGATTAATCCTCTCGGGATGCTTTTAATCAAACAGATGCTGAACTTGCTAGGCACAACATCTGCTTCAGTCAGTTAGGGCACCACTAAAAAGGATTAGTCCTGTCCCACGGAAATTGGAATGAGGCTGTCACTTCCACTTGCAGAAGAGCAAATGCGCGATTGTGTAGAGTCTTAAACTCGGGAAGAAAGACAGGGACAATAAAATGAAGAGAGTGTCAGAAACAATTTAAAAAAAAAGAAACGCGTTCATACATTTATTCACGGAAGCAAGGAAAATATTAATTGGAATTTAGCCTGTCGCAAAGGCGCGAAATTAGATGGTCAAAGAATCTAATTCACCATGAAATTTAAAATCGACGCTCAAATCCGGGCTCAATTTAGAGATTGATTTTTTCCCGTAATGCATTAATTAATGAACGAATAATGTTATTTAATTTGTTTTTCAAACTCATTCGCATTTAATATTTTGATTTTGCTTCTGCGTCCTAATTGTATTTTTCTTTTTCTTGGTTTTGTTACAATCAATCTATTAGATTTGTTAAAACAAATATTAGTTTGAGTCATAAGTAAATTCCGTTATGGAGAAGTAATTGCAATGACAAATGTATCAATCTAACTAACCGTTGCATAAATATATATTAAGTGGTGATGAAAAGTAGATTGTATACGAAAATGTTCAACGCAAATGGCAGTGTATTGACAATGATAAACACCCACACCAGACTCCATGTAAGAAAAGTAATATTATGTGTGAGACTTATTTATTATTTTTGGCTCCCTGTGTCGTGATAGACATTTTTCTCGCCCGAATATATATATATATATATATATATATGAAGAAATATATATATATATATATATATATGAAGAAATATAAACTTAAGGTGTGCTATATTTATAGGATAAATTGGTCAATATCAGAGATAGAGCGTGTGTAAATATAAAGGGTGAACATTGAAATCAACACTTAGACGCAATCGTTTGGCCATTCGTGGCCTGGCGATTGTGTCTAGAATGGAACAGACTGTCGCCTCTAACTGTTGACTTCAATGTTCACTTTATATATATATATATATATATATATATATATATATATATATATATATATATATATATATATATATATATATATATATATATATATATATATATATGAGTTCGTCCGTGCTTAGATGCTATTACATATGCTCTAGTATTCCTGTTATGTAATGCGAGATCTTGAAAGAAATCCAAACCAAAAGACGAAACTGCAATTATTACCTTGCAGTTGGTTCTTATGTGGCACCTTGGATTGAGTTACCGCCATAATGTAGATTGGCTGTGCCTTTTCTAGAAATACTTTTATAGTAATTGTTCTGGATGTATTAAAGTATACCAGCCTATCTTTCCTCCATTGAACTATGAGAGATAGATCAGAGGAGAGATCAGGTAGAAAGTACATGACTTCTGTATATTTTGAGGTGCAATCATACACTGTGGTTTCAACAGCATATATAGTTACTAATGATCTCAGTGTGTCGTTCAGCAGATAATTAATATGAAGTAGAAGGAGTGTAGGAACATTCAACAAGTCTTGCCTCGATAGCAATCGTCTCTTGAAAACTGTTAGTCGTGAGCTCAATGCAAATTAACCACTCAGCTGTCTCGTCTTGATAGCAATCGTATCTTTGAAACTATTAGTCGTGAGGTCAATGCAAATTGAACCCTCAACAGTCTCGTCTCGATAGTAATCTTCTCCTGAGAACTATTAGTCGTGAGATAAATGCAAATTTAACCATCAGCATTCTCGTCTCAATAGCAATCTTCTCTTGAAAGCTATTAGTCGTGAGATAAATGCAAATTAAACCTTGAACATTCTCGTCTCGATAGCAATCTTCTCTTGAAAGCAATTAGTCGTGAGATCACTGCAAATTAAAACCTCAACAGCCTTCTCTCGATATCATTTCTCTCTTGAAAACTATTAGTCGTTAGATTAATGCAAATTGAACCTTCAACAGTCTCATCTCGATAGCAATCTTCTCTTGAGAACTATTAGTCGTGAGATCAAATGCAAAGTGGACCCTCACACTTGTAGCCAGTGATGGCATCCTACAGGTTCGCACCAGTTCGCGGGAACTGATTATTAAAATTCTAAAACGTTTATTGGATTCATGGAATATGGAAGAAACTGTAGGTCCTTGGAAAGATGCTGACAAGAAAGCTATCGGTGTTTTGTAAAGTATTTCATGATGAGATCTCTGTTAATAATTTCCGTGGTTACGTTGAAAACGTAACGAGATATTACTATAAACAAATTGTGGCAAAAAACTATCCACAGCGCTACAAAAATTTTTATTTCTGCGGAAGCTGTAAAATGGTTTTTATGTGATAGACATAATTTATACTGACAAAAGAATTAGTTTTGAAGTTTTAAATGCGACAAATCTCCTCGCCATAAATTTGATAAATCTTCCATTGGATTTTTGGGACTCCAGTGATTCAGTTTGAATGTGGCTAAGAAACTATAACACTGTTGATGGCACTAGAGTCAAAAAACATTGTCCTTCTGAACAGAAATATGATGGGAACAGAATTTCAATCTGGAAATATCTTAATAAATAAATGTTTTCTATTAAATTATCAAAATGGTTTAATTCCTTTTGATACGGTATAAAGTGATTTATTTTCATTCCTAGATTGAAAGGAAAATAAGCAGGATAGGTTCTTAAAGATTCTCCGTCTTTATAGAACCAATGTCTAGAAATTTGGGATGCCATTATTGCTTGTAAACTTTTATATTGCTTTGATGTTAAAGACAGCTGACATGAAAATTATAATGCTATTAAATCATGCCGTTAAAAACGCGGAGATTTAACAACATTACCCTTTCTACATAATAATCCTGTTTCTAATAGTTAAGATTTAACATAGGTTTTCTAAACAAACATGTATAATTTTTAAATTGTCATTCATTTGCATTGCATTGAATCAATTTTGGAATGATTATATTGAATCAAGTCTGCTGGTAAGAAAATCCATTCACTATATCGACCGAAACAATTTTTCTCGCCAGAATCTATCTATCGAGCCGGGTTCGAATTCCAGTCGAATCCATTACATTCACTTACATGCTAATATCCTTGAGAAAAGTATACATCCTCTTCTTTTCCCCCCAGCTATGGGTAAATAACAGGATATACCGGGTTCTATAGACTTGGATGGCAACTGGTCTACCGCAGAAAGAAATGGCCACCGACTACGGGAAAACATCTGCCTCGTCAGTCATGATCGCTTAAGAGCGTATCACGAATGGCAAATAACTGACTTATTTTCCACTCTACAGCCTTTTGCCCCACAGTCACAAAGTTGCAAGACAAAATTCATACTTTAGTGACACCAGTTAAGATCTAGGACTCGCTTTAAGTCTACGGAGTTGAATCATAGACATTTTTTTCGTTCGTAAATAGGCAGATAGCCGCCTGGATGTGAGATCGGAGAGCAGAGTTCGAATTTCAGTTGAATGTGTTATATACATTTACTCGAAAATATCCTTGGCAACCTACTTCGGGAAAAATCTGCCTCGTCAGTCATGTATCGAAAGAAGATACATGATCGCCTAAGCGATAACTGACTGACTATTCGTCCATGTATTGAATATTGTTCCCATGTTGACTGGTGTCTATAAATTCGTAACAGAAATACAAAAAAGAAATGTTAACATTATCCCTGATAACAGTATCCCTGACCTGGCATCTCG